CTTCAACAGAGATCCGTTTTAATTGACTTCTACTATAATTACTTAAATTTCAGATTGACGAAGCTTCAAATAAAAAATAAAACCTTAAACGTATACATTTTCAGAGTTTTTACATCGATTGTTTGGTTCTAAGGAGAATTTATAAATAGTTTGCAAATTTTAGAGTTATTATCAAGAAACGTTGACGTTTCATGAAGAATCCTTCCCATTTGCTAAATCAGTTTTGGAAAGAGACTATATTAACTCGATGAGTCCTAGTGAGTGATACAATAGCCTAAAATGATTTATAAAATGGTCGTTCTTACGAGGTGAAATGTTTACTGAATTTTTCAAAACTTCATAATCCTCTTAGTTCAACCTAAAATTTGAATTTCGAATTTTGATTTGAAACTTCGCACAAATAATTTCCGTAATCGGACTAGTTCATTTTGAATGTTTCTGTTTTTTTCTTTAGTTCTATTGTGACATATAAGTGTTAGAAATTCCATTGTGCGACTAAGTAAATTTTTATGCTTATATTTGCATCTCATGACAGAAGAAACTAACAAGACTGAAATTTGTACAATGAATAAGTCTCATTCAGAACATTCTTTGTGCGAAGCTTCAAGTTTAAACTCGAAAGTCAACCTTCAACGTGATCGGAGAGGGATAATGCGATTTCATTGGAGAATTCGGTAGAGAATCGACCCAGAGCGAAGTATATGAAATACATATACGCTGTATATTTCACCATATACAATTGTATTTTGGTGTATTGCATGACATCATATCATGATCGTATTTTTCTACATTATATACAGAGAAGTACTACCATTTATGATACAATGTGGAGTAAGACGGATGTCTTATACGGTCTTTGTATACGAACTGAGTAAACGATTATATTTCACGGTACAGAGTATGAAGAAATACGATCGTAATACAGAGCCATTCAATAGACTAAAAATACGACGATTTATTGTCGTTAACGAGCGTGTTTGTTTGACATGTGGATATTTCAGAAATCTTGTCAGCGAAAGAGGCTAAAGATGTATAGATAATAGCATCCAGTACGAAGTAAAATTACGCAAAATAACCAGTTATTAGCTACATTACTTGTAAGGAGTGATCCTGGTCCTCTTCTTCTATTCACTGTGCCCACTCTTACCTACACACTACATCCACAATACTCACATCCCACACTCATCAACCAACAAATCTTATCTTCATTGATTCACACCACTATTAGTCAAATTACGTTATTCGCAATATTAGTGAATTGGCAAGCTCATTCTTCTCGTATGTGTCTTCTTCGTTTTTTTGTTGCTCTTTTAATATATTGTTTCTGACCATTTCGTATTAATTGTCACGTTTTCGTTGTCCTTTTTTTCAAGGCTTAGTTTGCTTGTTTCTGCTCAAAACTGTAATGTAGGGTTGTGATTAGCGCTTACATTGAAGTAAATAATACGAAACACGTTGACGAATCGCCTTCTGTATTTCGTCACTTATTATTTTATGAAGCATATTAGTCATAATTCAAATTACTTGGACAAAATATAAATTGTTGAAAAGTAAAAGTTAAAACATCCAGATCTCTTTCCTTCATGTTCACACTTCATACACTTCTTCGAATAGAAATAACGGTTTGTGTTTTGTTTCGCATCTAGTCTCAATCGTTTTGATTCGATAGTGTTCAGTTTTAGTGCTTTTATTGTGTGTCTCAGCTAACATACTGGAATGATGCTGGACACACGTACATTATTGAGGCCTTTCCTCACAGAGCTGCAAACTCGATGAGAGGCGTCGATAGGTGAATATATGTGGCTGTATATTTAAGTGAATCATTTTGGTATCACGCCACACCCCCAACCTCTTTTTAATAAAATTTAATCAAACCAATCAAGCAATCAAAAAACTGTTAGTTTGTTAGTTTCTAAATATCAAAGCAGTCCCTCCAAATCTTGTCTATGCAATTAGTACAATTTGTATTCTGTTAAGTTATATCTGCGTAGAATTGAACAGTACCTCCTGACGTAAGATACAGCCAGAATGAGATAGTGTACGTGTGGCTGACTATTGCTACAAAGGATTGGCCAAGAAATTCATATCCATACGTACATTGATTCATGAAGCAGGAGTTACCAGTGGACGAGTGACAAACAGTACTGTTGTCCACTATTCGACCTGCGGTGCCATTAAGACAAGTGTACGTACACCAAGTAACCCAGTTAGCAGGGGGTATTGATGCTGAACTTTCAAAACTTGGATTTTGAAGTAATTGGGTTGAATTGGAAATAGAGTCAACAATTGATATTTCATCTAGATAAGTGCTCGTTCCACCATTGTTGAACGCAAATTGAAGGACAGGATTTGTTTTCGTTGCGGTATAGACGAATGTATATTGAGTCCACGAAGTCGGAGAAAATAATGCCTTGAGAGTGCCCAAACCCGCACCGGAGCAGACCGTCACTATGATACATATGATAATATCAGCGTGTTTAGAGAAATACATATAAGTGTTAACTTACTGGTTGTAGTTGTCGTTGTAGTCGTAGTTGTCGTCGTTGTCGTTGCTAATAATAGTCAAACAAGTGAATAGAAATGAATACGTATAACTTGAAGAAAAAACGAGAGCAGATAAGGCCATTTTTCTGCCCCCAACAAAATTAACTTTTTTTTATCGATTTGAAGTAAGACATGACTCCTGATGATATTCCATAAGTTTTTTTTCGTATCGCTCACCAAAATGTTTCTGTGACCTGTGCTCCCTCGCAGGGATCTCTGAGAAACTTTTTATTTTTGATTTCGTTTATACACATCTTTATTGATGGAGTCAAGCGTGCTGATTACAGATATGAATATATTAAGTGCTGAAAGCTTTTTAGTGAACAAGAAATCAGCTCTTTTTGAACTGCTCGTTTGGCTTTATATCCAGGTTGTTGGCTCTGTATCTTCTTCATTCATTATTCTAACCTGATGAAAAACATTAATAATAACTAAAACAACGTGATCTTCTCGAATGTGAACTATAAAAGCCCCTTCAGTGCATCATCAGCTAGAAAACCTGTGATTACCGATCAAATACCTGCTTTTTTTCTCTTAGTCCCACAGAGATTGGGGTTTCCAAATCTTTTCATAGCGGATTAGAAGCAATGTGAAATTTGGACTCAATAACTAGTTTTGAATTCTCTATCCGATGGTGGATTCCAAGAACCGAAAAAATGGTGTGTCAACGTTTTTGAAGATTTTCTGGAAAATCTTTTTAAGATCCCAAGAGATTCAGTAAGAACTGACTTCACTATCGCGTTCAGCACGTCAAATAACCTTTGTTCACAGTTCTTTGGTAATCCAAATATTTCTAATATGCCGGATCAGGACATACATTTCTAAGATTAGTTCTATAGATGATGTAACGAAATTGAACGAAATGAAGACATTAAAACAATAGTTATCCCAATGTTTCTAAAAAGTTTAAAAGGTTTGAAATAGGTTATTTAACGTGCTGAACACGATGGTGAACTCAGTTCTTATTTTCTTATTGAATCTCTTGGGATCTTAAAAAGACTTTCCAGAAAATCTTCAAAAACTTTGACACACCATTTCTTTCGGCTCTTTGAACCCACCATCGGGTAGAGAATCCAAAACTAGGTATTCAATCCAAATTTCACATTGCTTCTAATCTGCTATGAAAAGATTTGGACATTCCAATCTCTGTGGGACTCAGAGAGAAAAGCAGGTTTTTGATCGGTAATCACAGGTTTTCTAGCTGATGAGGCACTGAAGGAACTTTTATAGTTCACATTCGACAAGATCACGTTGTTTTAGCTATTATGAATGTTTTTTTCATCAGGTTAGAATAACGAATGAAGAAGATACAGAGCCAACAACCTGGGTATAAAGCCAAACGAGCACCTCTAATATATTGATTTGTGTAATTAGTACACTTGACTCTGTCAATAAACATGTGTATAAACGAAATCAAAAATAAAAAGCTTTTCAGAGATCCTTGTGAGGGACCACAGGTCACAAAAACCTTTTGGAGAGCTATACGAAAAAAAACTTATGGAATATCATCAGGAGTCATACCTTACTTCAAATCGATAAAAGAAGTTAATTTTGTTGGGGCAGAAAATGGCTTACGGCCACTTGTTCTTTTTGATGATGAATAGCTCCCTCAAACTTGTCAGACGCAAAATGGAATATTACTGTACAGAGCTGTTACTTTGATCAAGATTATTGTGTTTTTGTGGATCTTATGCTATTTGAAGATTTAAAGTACTGCCTTTCAAATATAAACCAACAATCAAACCCTATTGAAACGTTGCAATAGACAAGCACCATTCAAACAAAAAAAGAAACGAAACGAAGCCAATAGCTATGCGTAGAATTGACCACTGGAACAAATGAAGCGTGAATAACATTGAAATTGCTAGATCATTTTTTGATACTTTATTTTGAAAACTCATACTTTTAGAAATCAAATATTTTAACAGATGTAAGACTGAGTAGATGACGCGATGGTGAGAAAGATGTAATATTAACAGCAAAATTAATTACATGATTATTATACTCATGAACGAATTAGTTCGTGCAGTTGTTTTTTCAAACGTGTAAGAAGTATCATTGAACTTGTTGAGAAATGTCATTCAAGTTATCCAAATCTTGTTGTGTGATAGTAGTCTTATAGCGGAGGCACTATGAGTTTAGAATGCGAAACACGGCAAAACTATTTTAATCATGACGCAGAAACCTAACTATGTCTATCAGAGTTTTTGTAGCTAGTAAACTTCATGAATAGTATCATAGCGCATTACAAAAAATTCTCTTCTGGATCGTATCAATTTACGTGACAGACACACGAAAATCCGAGAGCTATAAACCCCTTATTCTCAATTGCAATATTCGTAGTAGTTCAAATTTCAATCCTATAATGATCATCTTGGAAATATTCTCCTCACTTGTAGTCGTAGTTATTGTTGTTGTCGTCGTCGTTGTTGTCGTCGTTGTTGTGGTCGTTGTCGTTATCGTTGTTGTTGTTGTGGTTGTCGTTGTTGTTGTTGCTGCCGTTGTCGTTGTTGTTGTCGTCGTGGTTGTTGTTGTGGTTGTTGCTGTTGTTGTCGTCGTTGTTGTCGTTGTTGTTGTCGTTGTTGTTGTTGTCGTAGTAGTCGTTGTTGTTGTTGCTGTCGTTGTTGTTGTTGTTGTCGTCGTTGTTGTTGTCGTTGTCGTTGTTGTGGTTGCCGTTGTTGTTGTCGTAGTAGTCGTTGTTGTTGTTGTTTCTGTCGTTGTTGTCGTTGTGGTTGTCGTTGTTGTTGTCGTAGTAGTTGTTGTTGTTGTTGTCGTAGTAGTTGTTGTTGTTGTTGTTTCTGTTGTCGTCGTTGTTGTTGTCGTAGTAGTCGTTGTTGTTGTCGTTTCTGTTGTCGTCGTTGTTGTTGTCGTAGTAGTCGTTGTTGTTGTTGTTTCTGTCGTCGTTGTTGTTGTTGTTTCTGTCGTCGTCGTTGTTGTTGTTTCTGTCGTTGTTGTTGTTGTTGTGGTTGTTGTCGTTGTCGTTGTTGTTGTTGTGGTCGTTGTTGTTGTTGTTTCTGTCGTTGTTGTCGTTGTGGTTGTCGTTGTTGTTGTCGTAGTAGTCGTTGTTGTTGTTGTTTCTGTCGTTGTTGTCGTAGTAGTCGTTGTTGTCGTTGTTTCTGTCGTTGTCGTTGTGGTTGTGGTTGTTGTCGTTGTAGTTGTCGTTGTTGTTGTTGTCGTGGTCGTTGACGTTGTTGTTGTTGTCGTCGTCGTTGAGCTTGTGGTAGTTGTTGTTGTCGTTGCTGTTGTTGTCGTTGTCGTTGTTGCTGTTGTTGTGGTCGAAGTTGTTGCAGTTGTTGTGGCTATTATTACAAACGCAAATATTCATGTGCAAATAGTCAAGCAAAGAATTTCTCATTTTGTCCACCAGTGTCTTTTGCTGCTGAAAAAGCGCAAATGATTTCTTCGTTACGATTTTCTAAGAAAGCCATTGTTATACTGTCTACGAATATTTAGACCAACTCAACCCTGATAACAGTCACAGGAATCATAGTTCTAAGAGTCAAACTCAGTTGTCTTATTCATAGATCAATTTACTACTAGATCTATTGAAGGACACAGAGGTCATGAAACGATATTGAAAACATATTTATTAAGAAACACTAATTGAAAAACAAGTATACGATACGTCAATGCGTAGATGAATCGACACAAATAACACATAATATTTTGGAAGTCACGCGATTTCCTATTTTATAACCTCGCAAAATATACAATTATGGTGTTGTGTATGGTAATACATGTAAATAGAATCTTTTTTGTGTGCATGCACCGTCCACCATTATAGGTCAAAGTGTATGTTTGTGCATGTACATGCATGGACACTTACATACATAATTTTAACGCATGTTCACTACAATAGATCGCTAGAAAATCGAAAAATTGACGGATGTCAATCGTTGTCATAATATAACATAGAATTTGAACAATAGAGTGGATGAATGCTTGGTGATCTTCGTTTCATCCACATCCACTCACACCATTAAATCGACATCGGTTCATTACTATTTTTATTAGACGAGAACGAAAAAACTCATGTGACCATTTTAAAGGCATAGTTATGTTATAGCTAGGACTAAAGCTTTGTGCTGCATGTGTCATACCTCATATATAGCTACTTAGAATTAGTTTTGTATATTTTAAACTTTTGTATGAATACTCAAAGTCCAATCCAAGTATCAACCATTTGTATTAGATGATGAAAGGATGCAAATTTCGGATTAACTGTATCTCTCGTATATGAATAAATAAATCTCTGCAATATGATGTTAATTTTCATTACGATAATTATTATACATACTTATTGTTGATCCTGGAGTAGTGGTCAGTGTCGTCTGTTGTGCTATTTGTCAAAATTCAACACAGATAAGTCTTCACACTTTAAAATACGAATGATACTTACATCGTGTTAAAGCGATTGTCGTCCCAATCACTGTACCTAAGATAGCAGCCGTGATAGCCAAGCAACAACAAACCAAACACATTCGGAAAAAAAATGTCTTTCTAAACAGATGAATCGCAATGAAAAAAGTAATTAAAGCTTTTGTTGCGGGGTTTTTTTACTGAAAAAAAAAAGTTTTTAGCTGTTGTCAAAAAGCACAAGGTAAGAGATATATAATGCACATGCTTGCTGATGCTAGATAATGACGCATTGAATCTACTAATTGCGAGAATGCTTTGATGACCTGACTAAGAGTCTGATTCTGCAGACTAGTTTAACCTTACCTTAATGTGAGACGGCTTTAAACTTAATCAGAGTAAACTAGACTTAGTGTGTGATTATTGGTGTAACCACCGCAATGATACTTGAGACGACATCTCAAGAATATGACGTTTCATCTCAAGTGTAAGCGTTGTCTGCTGTATGCATAACGACATTTTGCCTCAGTAGTGCCTTTCAGTGGGCCTTAGAGCTGACACATTTTAGTTGTGTCCCCAAATACAATCCTTAGAGAGCATGCTAACGCAACAGTAGAACAATCATCCGATATAATGTATTATTAAGAGCTAAGCACGTGCAGAACTCACCTAAAACGGAAAAGTCATAATTGTAAACAGAAGTAGTCCGAGCAAAGCCTAGGTGGTATACATATATGGGTCTCGTAGTGATAGAGTTAATAGTATATTACACTTCATAAGATGAAACAAATGATAGAGGAAGATGATAATCTCAACTAGAAACTAATTATTATTGACTCTTGTCCATCGTCTGCAAAAAACTTACATCTCTAAAAAGGTTTTATCTGGAACTTTCAGGCTTTCTAGAAGCTCAAACTTCGAATTTCTTTTAGCTGAAATATTTATTTTGTTTTTCCTTAAGGCTTGCAGCGTAATTCCTGCGAGATTCAAAAGTAAAAGACGATTGATTAACTGTACCGTTACTCGATTGTCTTAACAATGCCGATGACTGTGAATAAGGAAATTTCATCCATTCTGACGGTCTGTTACGTTTTCGTGGGATAGCTTCGTGAGAGTAGAAAGTAGGCGAAGGAAATATACTATGACTTTTTTTGTTATGTATCTAGATATTTTTTCAATTGTGTTTCATAAATAAAGATGTTTGAAAGGTGATAAGTAAGTGAGTAAGTTTATGTGAAAAGACGATTCAGAAACCTTCGACGATGAAAAGGTGAAACATGATGGAACAGCTTTAATAATTACACAACCGCATAATCTCATTTATCAGTTTTTTCGAGGGTCAAACATTAGTATCCGAAAAGCTCCATGAAATCAACATAGATCGCGAGACACAGCAACGTATTTGCCACGGTCTTGGAAGGTATCGAAATGAGTCTTAACTTTCTCGGCATTCACTCCAACACTCATTACCAATCGTTTTTTTTACAAGAGCATGATAAGTATAATAAAAGTCAGATTTTGTTCAAGTTTGAATGTTTTTTTTTCGGGAAGTAAATTCGATGTTTGCACATATACTGTTCTTAACTGTCACAGACATATAAAAACTAGTTGACGCAGAATAAAAGAGTGATCTTGTCAAGTATCACGTTATATGCGTAGACAAAAAGTAAAAAACAATCGGTGTATGAGACGGCTTCGTCATTGGTTGCCTTCTTTATTAATTAAAGACTTTATACTTGTTGGTCTATACGGAACAGATTCGGTAGCACAGAAAAACTATGGTTGCTTGGAACATTATGCACCGAAAAATCAACAGATTAGATAAATGCTTCCATTAATTAGTCAGCAAATTTAGGTCTATTTATTCTGGTTTCCATTTAGAATTTCATTTCAAGTAGTTTTAAAAGATTCAAAAACCAACTAATTTATTCGAACAGCATCCGTCATGAAAAATCTGTCTGGTTTCACATCTGCCATCCTCGCAATTCCGCCCACACGCTCCAATCGTATCATTTCAGAAGATAATGAATCAGCTGATTTCATACGTTAAACTCTGACTTTCTCAGGCTACTCGGCAGAAATGGCAAAAATTACGTACCATTTCATTGAGATTTGCATTTTTTTGTAATAGCCAAGAACACAATCTTCGCTACTTAACATCAACCTAACTGTATACTGACAAACTACATTCTTTTAGCGGATGATTTCTAAATCATTTACCTTCAGATGAACTGCTAAGAACACTTTGGTAGCCTATGTAAACTTTAGAGTCTACAATAGATTCTGTGCTAGAAGCCTCACTAACATAATGTGAATTTGTCAGCGCATCGAGGATAAGAGTATTTCGTAGTATCTTTACTCGTGTGATATACAGAAGTAATTGACGAAAATATCAACACCTCTTGAATCGCTCGCTGTGTTTGAGGATTAGGTGTGAATGAATATGATATGTGAATTGTGGCTGGTGGAGGTATTCTCCTAAGTAAAGCATACTAATCTACCAAGTCTAGCACTTACAGTCATCCATTGGCCGACATTCATAGCAGGGCTCGAAATGGACTGCCCGGCCCGACGGAAGCTTTCGGCCGGGCCCGGCGACCCGACAAAATCCTACTTTTTTTCTTTTATGAAATTTTATAAATGCCATATCAAATTGAGTAAGGATCGAAAATTTTTTTCAGAGTCACTTCTATGGAGCTATTATTAAACAACATAGTAAGTCAATAGCTTTTTAAAATTCACAATCTGTTAATCTATTTTCTTATGATTATTGCACTAGTTAGTGTATCTTTATCCTATCATTTCAATAATCTGATCTCATTAAATTCATCAATTAATGTATGGTGTGCTCCATAAAAATTTCTATCGAAGTACGGGGTAGATCTTTAAGACCAATTCTGAATAATACGTTTGTTAAAAAAATTTGTCTTGAGGTCTGTGCCGCGCCAGCGAATTTGATGGACCGGGACATATCCATTAAAAGTTGGGCCGGGTGGACCGTCAAAACTTTCGGGCGATTTTGGGCCGGACCGGACCATAGATAAGTGGCGCATTTCGAGCCCTGATTCATAGAACTGATGGAAATGAAATATGAGGTGATTAAAATACTTTTCAACTGTGTCCTCGAAGCTAACTTGGTATTCTATTGATGCCATTCAATGGAAGTCTATTTGACTGTACACTGCAGTCTGCAGATATCATAGCTTTGATGTTTGCAACGTTTTCGAAATAATTATTTCCTCACAGAGTGAGGAGTTTAGAAGAAACTTTTTATTTCAATCTAAAACACTAATCAATGTGAAAGTCTTTTATCGTACAATCATAAGTTTACATATTTATAGATCTGAATCTGTTTAAGTTCTTACCGTTGACGCTTCTTTTGAATTTCAGGATATTTTTTAAGATCCTCCCAGACAAGACCAAAATCTGGTGATACTGCTGTTTTTCTAGAGGTGATTGAACTGGGATGGCGCTAAATAAACGTGATGCAAAATCTTGTAAATAATTTTTATCGATAAAACATAAGACTTACCTTTAATGATATACTATCGGATTTAGCGGGTGTACAAGGCGGTAAAAGTAGTGTGTGGCCTATTTCTGAAGCAGGTGTGAGTTCGTGATTCATGTTCCTTTGATGCGAGATCGATGAAATTCCTTCTTGACGTGTTTTTAGGATGTTCGGGGGCTGATCATCGATGTTGCTTTTGTGCAGAACTGGTGGAACCTCTAAGCTCACGTGACGTATGGGTCCAGGCATAGATTCCACTTTATTAGGTTTCACAACTAAAGAATACCTATGATCGAGCTTGCGATCGATCGATATAGGTGCGGGATCGACCATGCTACGGCTATGTACCAATGAATGTTTTTTTTTTTGAACACGGTTAACCGATGTGTTTATGAAGGCAATGTTGCTATGGGCTCGAACTGATGCATGATACTTTATGCTTACATGTTCAACTCGAGGTTGTTTTGAAATCGTTGGAACCTTCGTCACTTTCGATTTTGCATCCATTATACGTAGTATGAAAATGTGCCAAAAGTCTACTGCTGTTGTAATGTGAAGTGTACAAACTTTTCTTAGGTAAATAAAAGAGAGAAGATTATTATGCAATGAGAGATTCAGTACTTTTTTGTATTGCGTATAAAGCAATTAAAAGTCTATCGGAAAACCTTTGTATATAATTAATCAATAATGTTTGACTGTAAACAACCTACACCGCAATTGGACGTGGGTGTGCTTGCGATGAAAAAGATAACACGCATCGACAGTCACATACCGACACCAACAGTCATCCGCACCTATCCCATTTCATCTTACTCATACCAATGTCGTACTCACTCCGCTGGAAGGCCAGAATTTCGGTCCAAGAAATTTTCGGTCCGATCCCAAATTTCACCGGAAGTCCGGTCTAAGGTAAAATTCATCTCACCTCTCTTGATAAAAAAAACTGTTTAACTTCAATGAATAGTTAA